ACTAACAAACATATTTTCCATTGCTTCGCACCAACCGCATACTTTTAAAATCATCGGAGGTGATTTTAATCTGCCAAAAATTACATGAGGCTTGACTCCGGTACCAGGTCGATATAACAAGCTAGTTGAAACATTAGAAATTTGTGGATGGGTTCAACAGGTCCGAAAACCAACCAGGGGGAATAATACACTTGATTTAATGTTCACAAACAACATAGACTCTATCTCAGTGCATACCAGTCAGGAGTTTTTTATGAGTGACCATAGAATTATATTGAGTATTATTCACTCTTTAAACGCCATACAATTGAACTCTAAAGCTTTAATGACGTACCAGAGCAGACATTTCGATCAACAAACATGGAAACGGACCGAAACTCTCATTCAATGTTTACCATGGGAAACTTATTTTACCACAAATAATGTTGACATTGCGCTTTCCAATCTATACCACAACCTGATATATTGTCTTGACTGCACTGCTCCAGTTATTGGCCGTGTGACTTATAATGCTAATAGGGGCCAAAATCCTTTTAAAAGAAAGCTGAGGAAATTAAAATGCCGCTACTACGAGCAGAATGATGTGTATGCACTTCAGAGTATACTTAAATTAATCAACAGAAATGCTTCATCTAAACGTAAGTATTTTATGAATATAGAAAATAAAGCTCTACGTAGTAAAAGCCCAGAATTATCAATACTTCGGCTTTTTAAATCCCGTGTAATCTCAAATTCCCTTGGCACGACTAAATTCTTCATAGTTAACGGAAGCATTGTTAACGACCCGAATATTAATTCAGCAAGCACTTCTCGCAGTGCTACAAAACTGGAACTGAAAACTCCATCATTACATTTCCAATGCTGACATCCAGACATCTGTCGGAAATTGATTTTACACCCTCCAACATCAAGCAGGCCATAGCTGCCCTGGAAAAGTCTTATGATGGTGGACCTGACGGGATACCTTCATCATTTGTGAAATATGGAAGTAGAGAATTTCCACTATTTTGTTTGAAACTTTTCAATCTATCTATGGAATATGAGACCTATCCATCTGTATGGAAAACATCCCTTATCACCCCTAGATTCAAAACAGGATCACGTAGTGATATTGTTAACTATAGGCCAATTAATTTGAAATCTGTGCTCTCAAGAACCATGGAAAAAATCATCCACAAACAGCTACTATCATTTTTACTTTCGGCTAGTCTGATCAGCCCATGACTAAACGCTCATGTTTCACCATGCACCTGGAGTTTTTTGATCAAATTACCCAGAAAAGAGATGTTGGTCAGTCAGTGATAACTCTTTACTTCGATTTTAGTAAGGCTTTCGACAGTGTCTCACACAAACGTCTTCTTTTAAAACTTTCTTCATTTGGCATACAGAATCTCCTTTTATCTTGGCTCAAATCTTTTATAGAAGAACGTAGCCAAATCGTTCGCTTTGGATCTTGCTACTGTAAACCTGTGAATGTAACCAGTGGGGTTATACAATGAAGTGGGGTTATACAAGGAAGTGTGGTTGGTCCATTACCCTTCCTCCTTTTTATCAATGATGTGTATTCTCCTCTTTAAGTATGGTGAACGTTTCGTTTTTGCTGATGACCTGAAAGTACTTTATTCATTCTCTTCTCCCACGAAAGAAAGATATATTTCAGCGGTAATCCAAGAGGAAATAAACAAGTTATACGAATGGACTGTTTCGTGGAATTTGCCACTTAATGTTGACAACAGTAGATTTATTCACATTGGCCGCTGTCTTAACTCAAATCTGACAATTTACAAACATAGACTCAAACCTCTCAACACTGTTCGTGGCATGGGTTTAAGATATAGCAACAGTCTGAACTTTTCTGAACACATTATATCTCAAGTATCCAAAGCTAGAAAGCTAATCGGATTGATAATGATAAACTTCAATAATATCGAATCGAGATTATTATTATTATACAGAAAATGTATCTTACCCATTCCTGAATATGGTATTTTAGTTTACAGTAATTGCAGGCATAATGACCTGATTAGAATTGAAGGTGTTCAAAGAAGGTTCACCAAAACTGTTCTGGGGTATTCCGATAACAAAGACTATTACCAAAGATGTCAACAACTCAACTTAGAACCTCTTTGGATCAGACGTGTCAAATTAAATCTTATCTTTATCTACCGGCTTAATAACAGTATTTCCTACTCTTCGGAACCCACCCCTTCATACCTTATGATATCATCCCACAATCTACGCAATAAGGAGAATATTCTAGCGATTCCAAGAACCTACACAAACTTACGCCAGAATTTTTTCCTTATTCGCTACTCAACCATGTGGAACAGACTGCCAGTGAACCTCCGTTGCAGTGAGACTAAAACCCCGTTCAGAAGTCTCCTTGACGAGAAACTGCTTCAATTAGAATGCTTAAAATGAAATCGAAAGTTTTAGTCTGATTAGTTTCTATATTGAAAACGTGTGTTTTATCGTCTTTGATTTGTTGGATTTTGCAAGAAACCGCATAGTGTAGAGGAATATTTTAAGATTGTTGTTGTGAGACTTTTCGCCAACAACTACAAATGTCGGTATGGCATTGTGATGGAATATCAAGTAGAGAATATCGTAGTTTCGTATTGACGGGTTCACATATTGCTGCCAACCGTGTATGTCGAAGGAACTAATAAGCCTTCAAAACATAGTGGGCCAGAGTGTGTCTTCCATTTGATGCTTGGAAGGTCAAAATCACCATATATAATTTTGAAGGCAAAATCAATGGAGGCAGCCCTAGTAAATGACTCACTAATAGTAGTGCCAGTCAAACTGGAAGCTCGAAATACGCATACAATCAGTATTTTACGTTCGTGAGCGTGGATGGTAAGCCGTTTCGAATCAGGTTGTTTGCTGAGGACAGCATTGCTATTTGGTCAAACCCCAGGTACTATAGTTTCAGTATCGTCTTTGATATCTCTTCTTTTTGGGTATTAAAACCTTCATGGAACCTGTTTACTCCTCTAGTCAAGTACTTCTTAATCTTCACGTTGAAGCAAAACCAACATGATTCTGTTACCTCGATTATTTCAGTACTGGGCTACGGCTTTGCAGTTTCTGTTGATGTATTGTAGTGTGGCGTTCAGTCGCGGTTGACTATGATCACCACTATAAGAAGACTACGTGCCAGTTAACCGATAAGATCCCCCGTAAGTCAAGTATCAGAAGGCAGCAGACTGTAGTCGAGACGTATTTGTTGGCGATCTCAGGGTATCGAAAGAATAACGAGATCGTGATGGGTTACTAATGTGGTTACTGAGCGTAACGGAATTCATACAAGGTCACAATCAACGAAAGAATGTGTGTATTGTGGTACAGTTAAATAAACAAGTACAGTAAAATAATCACTGGCACAATTGGTTATAATAATTGTTTCCATTAGACAAATCGCGTCTTCTTGATAAAAGTAGGTCACTACAGTATATTGCCATTCCACCTCATTCTTTTGTACACTAATAATATTACAAAAATATCGTTCCCTGCATGCTCGATTCTTCGTCTAAGAAGTCTGGATTTAGCCATGTTCCAGTTAGGACGGTGATCTTCATGCATAACTGAAATCACGTGTTTCTGATTTCTCCTGTTTAACCCTTTAGTTCTGTTACGTTGCCACAGGGGTTAATGATGGTTTGTCTCATCATCTGATGCCCATCTACAGCAACATCCGTCCTATGGTTTTTACTCAAGTTGTTGTTTGAAGTGTGTTGACCAGTTATGTGAGAACTGGCGGCAGTAAGTTTGTTCAAATGGAAAGTCCCACTGAGAAGTTCTTATCGTAACTCATACTTGGCATTGAAAAACAGATGTAACGCCTAAGTCCGAGTCGATAAATGTCTTTAGACCAAGTTATCAGCCAAATTGTAGGCTAATCGTAAATATCATTACAAACGCATGACCAAGAGGAAACTCAAAAATCAGTTGGTGTGTACTCTTAAAAAGTCAAATAACAAAGATCTGTCTAATTTAGAGATTTCAGATGTCTTTAATACTAACTTGATAGACCATCTAAACCAGGAGCCTGAAAACGCGAAATGTCTCTCAACTATAGTGCCAGCTGAGGATCTAGGAAATATTCAACGAAATCCCTGGTTAGTATTGAAGACGCGAAAATCCCTGAGCTCAGGAGAGTCAACAAGATATGACAGCATTCGGCCTATAATCCTGGAACATTGAGCGGAGGCTATCGCCAGACCGGTGCGTGACCTGTTCAAGCACTCACTAGATTCACACGCGGTTCCTAAGATAACGGAAGCTGGTTACTTTCTGCAATCTTCAAAGGGAGAAATAGAAAAACTTAGCCTGTTACGGACTAGTAATATTGCTGCTAATAATGTCGGAGGTAATGGAAGGACTGGTCGATGAACAAATCAGGAGATACTTGGATAAAAACAACATCCTCCATAAAGTCGAACACGAGTTCAGGAAAGACTGGTCATGTTCGTCCAGTCTGCTCATAGCATAGGAAGAACAGACGACATTCTGGGACATAAGATATTGGTTCACGTAATACTGCTCGATTTTGGAAATCTATTTAACATAGTATCTCATGCACTTTTCATATCGAAGGTTAAAAATTTGGGTTTCACTGACTCACTTTTATCCTTACCGTGAAACTTTATAGTGAACAGGATGTATAATACCGAGGCACATAGTTTGCGTGAACATGAACATTCCTCCCCATTCAACACAAAGCACATACGCTTTCCATGAAATCCCACTTCCAACGGTCCCCTCAGGGCGGGGTCTCGGGCTTGTACTCATGGAGAGCCTCGAGACTAGTTCAAACCACATAGTGGACGCAGTAAAGGTAAACGCAAATCTTGACTTTGTGCTAAGACAACATGATGCTATTCCCCTGAGTTGTTCCTAACACTGTTCTAAACGTGTATAAGGTCCCACCTTGAAGTCGGTTTATACAAGCTCGTGACAAAGGTATTGGATATTGAATACTTGATATCAACACTTCACCAGGCGCTATAACGTTTTGAAGGTCGCTGATCATGTGTGTTTGAGATGGATTTTAGTAATTTGCACTGCTTTGTGGGAAAGGGGTATGTTTTCTATTCTGTTTAAAGCTAAATTTGTTCTCCACCAAAATGCGAGATATTAAGTTTTTACTGAATCAGACCCTCAGCCTTGTAAATACTACTAGATTGTCAGCATAGATTAACCACATACTTTAGGTGGAAGCTAAATAAAATCGGTAAACTTTGTGATGGTCACTTCCATTCGAGGCTCAAAGCATATAAACAGTTAACCTGTGCATAAAATGTCACAAACCGAGTAACGGAGACCAGAAATTTATTGTGCTATTACAGCAAGTTTATTAGGTTGTATGGAGTTGAGAGCGCGGGCAATGTATAGTACGCTAGAGATTGCTTTGGGTTTGTAATAAATAAATGATTAGTTTTAATCTGAAGTCACGTCTTTCTGCAGGTTTTGCTTTAATATCGGGTCCATTAATTAGTTTGTGACTGTATAATTAGGATGAAACGTATTGTATTTAGTGGCACTATCTTAAATTTTCACAAGCTGGCTCTAAGATTATTAATGGGCAAAACAACGTACAAAAATCGACCTGTAATTTGAGCAGTGGATCTCCGAATAAATACCGAAGGATTTAAAATGTAGAAAATAACGAACTGTTCCTGCCTGTTTAATGATATAGCCCGACTAGTTCATGTTATTAAAAACAGTTAGTCCCTTTGATATATTTCGATAATGCAGTGAGAAGACGAAGTTTATCAGAATTATGTTATGTATTTGCGCAATACATTCCGAACAATCTGACCACACATATACTTGCTAAGACATTTTTATATGAAAATTAATAGGTCAACTAGACAGGTTAAAGGTAAGCCGTAACAAAGAAAGAAAATTATTAAAGTACACAAAAACAATGTGATTACCATTTTGGATAATAAATCAGTATTACCAGGGTAGGTTAAGTTTAAGGACAAATTGTTTTTGAACGCATAAAGGGGGTTTCAGTTTCCGTATAGCCAGTGCTTCAATAAACCTTAGTATACGTCCTTAAAGGCTTTTGTATAACACTACATGTGCTGGTTTGATGTCAACCTTATGACCAGTCTCAATCAAATGTTTCGCAATGGAGGATGATGTCTGTCTATTGTGTGATCAAATTTTACCATTGTAATTCATCTGTTTACACATCCATTTTGGTATGTGTTCACCCATCCTTAATTGCAAATCACGATTGCTCCTTCCTGTGTATGTGTTTTTCACGCACATGTAAATTGACAGTCTCCGTTTCAACATGAGACTATTTATGTCGCCTCTAAATGGTAACATAATGTGAACTCGCTTTTTGGGTGCCAGAAGTGTCATTTGTCTAGTCATATTGCAACCCTTTCAGCGGTTTATGAACTTCAATAAATAACTATTATTCATTGACGTATTAATCAGGAGCTTCATCTCTACTTCAATAGTGTCGCTAGTACAAATACGATTGATTCTATTAAATAAGCCCCTTATTAATCCACGTTTGTAATGAATTGGGCAGTGACTACGGAAATTAAGATACTGCCCTGTCCATGTTGGCCTTCTATACATAGAACGTCTGATGGAACCATCATCTCCTACTAATCAGGATGTCTAGAAAAGGAAGTTGGTTGTTCTTCTCTTATTCTCATGTAAGAGAGATGTGCTTTTGACTTGTATTGAGTTCTTTTAACAAGCGGTTTACATCTTCACCTTTATTTCCTATGATCATGATATCATCAACATACCGTTTTTACAGAAACTTCTTCAAAATAAAGTCTTCAGCTAAATTTTCAACATATCCCATGAGCATATCAGCTAGCAACGGTCCTAAAGGGCTACTCATAGCTACACCATCGATTTGTCGAAAGTGCTCACCCTCAAAAGTGAATTTTACATTTTCAGTACACAATAGTAATAAATCTTTAAGAGTTTTAACAGGAAATGACAATGGGAGGTTATTCAAAGAGATATAGTCACACAAAATATCAGTAGTTTTCCTAAGAGGTACATTTGTAAATAAAGTGTTCACACCAGAAAAGCACATTGTCATTGTCTTTATATTTAAGTCCTTTAAGTACTTAATTAATTCAAATGAGTCAATCAAGGAATACTTACAATATTGATTTTGGATAGGGTTTTATACTTTTGTAAGCCATTTTGCAAGGTTGTGTGTAGGTGACCGACACATTGATAGAATTGGATACTTAACCTGCCCTGGTAATACTGATTTATTATCCAGAATGGTAATCACATTGTTTTTGTGTACTTTAATAATTTTCTTTCTTTGTTACGGCTTACCTTTAACCTGTCTAGTTGACCTATTAATTTTCATATAAAAATGTCTTAGCAAGTATATGTGTGGTCAGATTGTTCGGAATGTATTGCGCAAATATATCACATAATTCTGATAGTTCATGTTAGTTGAGTGTCTACGAATTGATCACGGTGATTCTTCGTTTTGCAAAAAAATAAAACTGGAAGGAGACTTCGAAAAGCATTTAATTTGACTTATTTATTTTCGGTACTAAACGACCTGAAGTCGTAAATCCGTTTGACCAGCCAGGAAACCGAAAACATAAATTGTTAGTATGTTATTCTAAGACTTGTGATAGGTATATGGAGTTTCAGACTCTTGCGTCGTAGCTGATGTTAGCTCGTGATAAAAACTGCAACCATAACTCTTAAACATAATCCCTAACACTAGTTTCTAACCGTATTTTAATATATGTACTATGATCTTTAGGAGGTTTGCACACTCACCATTGGCTCGGCGGTATAGTACAGCCCCACCCTATTCTCATCTATTCATTTGCTGCCTGAGTTGAAGTCATACTAGCCTTCTCTCTTAAACTGACTCGATGATTGCCACCAAATTAAATTCGGCTTAAGTGGCACGCTAATAAGTGTTTCAATTTTCATAGTTAAATTGATCAAAGTATAATCTTAGTTGTATTTAGTTTAGTCCGATTAATTACATACCCATTATTTCTAAGTTTCCACATAACGCATTTATAACACTGGATTTCTCTGCATACTACTCAAGCCACTCGAAATATTCTCCCCTTGAGAGTTAAGGGCTGAAAATGCCTCCACTAAAAATTGGGGATAGTAAAATTAGACAAAAATGAATAATTGTGAATTCATCTTCATATATGCATGTATTCTGTACATCCGTTAGGTGTTAAAGCTTAAGGAATTGTGATTTTACTTAATGTTCACTTATTTGGGCATAACTATAGCGTTTCTCTAATGACATTTGGATTTTATACTCGTTCGTTAGACATCATTAAAGTAAGAGAAATATTTTAAAGTAGCACAGCAATATTCTTTAAAGGTTCCATTGAATATGGTGATGTGTGTATCATCAGTGACTTTATTAACAAAGCCCTTTAGCTTATAGAAGTATCCCCATTAGTGATTTTACCTGACCATAGTTGCTACCTTGGCAAAGAGGTTGGGCTTACATGTCGCGATGACACGATCGAGCTATATCGACTAAAATACTCACTTCTTTAGGTTCTACCGTGCCCGGTGGATCGGCTTTAGAACGATAATTCTCATAAAAAAGGGAAACTTTTTCCCTATTCCCTCGGACGGTTTATGAACTCGACCAGTCCGACGAAATTACTCCCTGTTCCGAAACTCTAAGCATTGTATCAACCAACCCGACTGAAAGTCCTAGACCACCATTCTTAAAAAATCTGGAGTTACACTCTCAATGTTTGTTACTCTTCTCTAGTGTTTTCGATTTCGCTTTAGTTCAGAGGCCCAATATAAGACTTGTACACTAGTTTTAGTGGTTATGTGAATAGGTAACATTTTTTCTGCTCCCAAATGCCCTGGTACGACCGAAGGTGGGACGAGTTCACTCTCCCTTTCGAAATGCGCTCATATGACAACGCGTTTACAACCACTCCGAAGGAGAGTCCTATTCACAACGGGAGTTTATTTACGAAAGTGAAAGAATGAAAAATGGACATCCACGGTTCAAACTTAGTTGGTACATATAGAGGATTTACCTGGGGGAGTTGACAAACCATTGTTTAGAACCAATGGTGCGCATACGCTCCAAGATCGCGAGGAGATGAAAGACCCACAAACATATCTTTGATTCCCGGCTACCACGGGAGTGCGTTTTCGACGTTTCTTCGCCGTCCTATGGATTAGTTCTCTAAGTCAAGGACTCGGAGAGCAGCGGCTTAGAAAAAGCACTTATTGAAAAATGTAGATTAGCACTGGCTACGTTCCCATGACGTCATGAAAATGGTGGATTACGTCTCTTGCAGCTTGGCAAAACGTTCAGCTTATAAGCACTGGGTTTATGAAGGCTCCTTACAACTTAAAGCTCATCGGACAGTAAAGTTGGTCTGTTGCCCCGGTAGCATCAACCAGTTTGTTCTGTCCTCTCTAGCCGGTACCGGTTCAGCCACCTGACGAGGTGGAGGCCCTCGAGAAAGTTCAAATCCTGAACCACCAAAAGTCATCAGGTCCACATGATTTACCCCCAGCTCTTTCTAACAATGGTAGCAACCTTCCGGTCAGAGCACTGACTAGGTTGTTTGAGAAACAATGTATTCCATCATCTTGACGCGATTGTCGTTGTCATCTTTAGAAAGGGTCTATGTCATCTATGCAACAACTATTGGGGGTAAACTCTACTTCCGATTACGTCCAAACTATTGGCTGGTATATGTCGATCCATTAGGACTCTCTGGTTAGGGTCCGATAGATGGTGTAACTCAGTGGCTTGAGACATTATCAGACATGGCTCAAAATAAAATCCAATGGCGATCTTGTTGTAAGGCTCTTTAACTATTAGAAGAGAGAACATCCTTGACTGAAAGGATTCTTTCTGGTTCCATTTTTCTTAACTGAGCTCCTTTTTCTGTTATATACTGCTCTTGTTCACTTATGTATTTAGATTATATTTAGCCTCCGTCCTCTACCTCTTCGCAATATCTTTTTTTGGCTGTTTTTATCTTGGTACCCATTTCTACCAGTTTTTAGGTATGTTAATTAAATACTTTTAAAAATGTAATTTATTTTGCCGTTCGTTATAGACTCTTTGTTAACCTAAAAAAGGTTTCAGTTATATCCAGCCAGACATTTGGGCATATTAAAGCACGTAACACCTGAATTCTCTTACCTGCCGTGTAAGAAAAACCGTATGCCTTTATTTTTGTAAATATTATATATTGCTGCTATAAAGTTTGGGTTTGTTCCAGTCCCTAACCTGTCTTTAACCATCTAATTGTTTTTGCTATCGTTATTATTCACATTGTTTCTATATTTTTCACATTTTGCATACGTGATTCCATATTTTTTAGCTCCCTTTTATCATCTGTATTATATTTTTCCGGTATTATCTTATTATTAGTATGATTTCTACTGCATCCTCTGCCACCATAAATACAAATACCAGTGAACGAGATTGTAAAATTGGTCAGCTGCAATATCAGCAACAACAGTTGCTCCGTCAAAGTACTCCTTACAATTTCAGTTCTTGGGATTGGAATGCTGTGAATATCATGAATAATAATAATAATAATAATAATAATAATAATAATAATAATAATAATAATAATAATAATAATAATAATAACAATAATAATAATAATAACAATAATAATAATATTGTTAACGGGACTCAACAACCAATTTGCAAACCTTTGTTTCCTGAAAATGACGTCATGAAGATGATCAATTTTATAAAACGTAAGGCGATCATTTTTTGTTCTTCTAGTTAACCCTTTATTTTTTATATTTCAAATAGAATGTTTGAATGAATCGACTAAATGCCTATTTAAGCGCTATTCTAATGATAACTGGCAAGATTTGTCAGTGTTCACAATACGTTTTGCCCGTGAACTGCACATATAAATCACTGGAAGAAAAGTATGCAGAACAACAAAGTTATCTCTATGTCTCATCAACGTAGTATTTATAACGTAATTTTCTTTCTTTGGTCAACCTGGTAAGTGGAAAACATTTCAAAACAATCAACTTAACAATACAGTCTCAGAGTTGTCATTCGCATTCTATTAGCTGTAAGCTACGTTAGGTCTAATGTCTTTACTATCAATGAAAACAAATCATAACTTAAAACCTTACATGGCTTACTACTCGCTAGCCTAATAAACATATAGTGACACAGAAATTTTTGTTTGACGATTAAAACTTGTTTTTGGTTGTACTCAATACCAACTACACCAGTTTAAAACAACTAACAAAGATAGGTATGAAGCATGATCTACATAGGGGGATATACTAGTGAATAACCATGCAATGTCAAAGTAATCGGTGAACAAACATTTTCCTAGTGTAAGGGATATCGGTAAATGATTTACTCGATATTCTTCGGTGAAGAGGTTGAATTCTTCTGACCTCTCGTCAATCTTATGGTCGACGATTATGTTTTAAGAGGCTCAGTTAGTCAAATGTATTATAAAGAAAATTTTATTGTTAAGTTCTAAACGATTATTTTATTCATTTAATTTGAATAATCTAATTGGAACATTCTTCTATTGGTATCATTTCATTCTGGGAGATGTGAAGTGGCTATTATTTGAGTTTTATCCGTGGAGTAATATTCAATATGCTATCATATGTACTGTTTAGAGGTCTAAGTTTTGCTCTACTTTGTACTGGCTGTTACCTTTGGCACTTGAATTTACCGTCTTATCGAAAAAGCTCAGTTTAATCATTGTTTTTAGACTTTTTAACCATCTTAATAAAATCCGAAAAATTGAATTTAGCCATCCAAACTATTACGTAAACTTGGTCTATCATTATTGTTATGATGATCATTTTCTTAAGTTTATTTTAATATGATTTCTTTTTGTCCGATTAATATTACGGCAATTTATTTGATATTCCTCCATATTATAACTCGCTCCATAAATCATTTCAGTGTAGTTGCTTAAAGTCCCATTTCCTCCTGAAACATTAATTGCTGCACTGATTCATTCGCATATCAAAATTTTTATGTTTGCTTTCCGTAAAATTATATGTGCTAAGTTGTATGAGATTCTAAAAAAGGCTAAGGGTTTTTGTGGTTACGTAATTCACAGTCGATCTATCTTCGTTTATGTCGGATTCTACATTGTTTATGAGTGACTATCTGAAGGTCTGTGATACTGACCAACAAACAAAACCTAAACAATTGGAGGAGTAAAAGAATTTATTGCTTATAACTCTCCGTTGAATGTCGGGTGTGTAAACCAATTAGCTACATTACATGATTACTTTCTAATCAATTCATATAGACTTATTACAGGTTTATTTTTTAGATATCAGTGTTTGTTTAAACTCATCTTTCTTGATTTTAGAGGAAAATTATGCTCCTACAATGATTAATTCAGCCAGCTTCAGTCATGAAAATAATAATAAACAAGGGTTTGTACGGGAAACTCAACCGTCATTGAATAAATTAATTGAAATGGGCTATCCAAATCAGCATTGCCCTTATCCTTTAGATCATTTACATTCACAATTTCAATTCAATCAAAGTAGATGCTCATCAACTACAACACGATGTAAGTAGATTTTATATATGGGACAAAATGAGACTTCAGTTTTTATAGCGTTTCTAGACAATATCATCAACACAGACTTCAGAAAAAAGTGTTTTTTAAGAGATATTTTTCCACAGGTAGCTGCTAATAACTTATCCTGTAGACATAAGTTGTAATTGAATATTACCGGTAGTTTCATTGTTATCGTCAGTCAGTTACAAGTAATGCGATAATCTGGTAAAATTATACATCAACACAAATTGTTGTACTGCATCAACATAGCAAGATGAAAACAAGAGTAGCAGTGATAGTAAAAAAGGACTAGATAATGAAAATGTGATTCAGTTAGAAAGAATCGATTCCCTTTATAAAAGATTCAAAATAATTTCGAAATTAAAGATATATAGGTATTTAAATTTGATGTTGTTAAAATGAGTTATCAGACAACTCGAGGTAAAAAAAATAATGTCAAGTGATTTTTCAAACAAATGTTGTGTAGATAAACAGAGCTCAAATAATAAATCGTTCTTCTGAAAGAATAATGCACCAACATATAAATTCTGTAAATATTTCTACTGAGTTTATCATTTTATAGATAAAGAACCAACTGTTCGTAATGAAGAAAATCCTGTTTATTCTGAAGCTGATAATAAATCAAGCATTCAAGAGGATCCATCATCAATGGATAAGAACAACAATTGTAAAAGTATGTAAAATTATACTTAACTTTTTTGTTTTAACTGAAGTCTTAATTTATTCACATTTTAATACTAAAATAAATGTTCTTGTTAAAGAATATAATTGTGATTATCGAATGAATGACCATTTGTTAATATGATATTTTTTCAAACAAAATTCAATCTAAAGTATGATTTTTTTGTCGGTTGAGAGGTTTCGTTGAGACCATTTCAATTCGTAGGTAGTTTTCTTCACAGTTTAATGTCAGTTGTGTTATTACTAAAACTCAGCGGGACACTGTACGGCTGTTTCCGTCCCAGTATGCAACTCAGTATAGTACGAACCCCATAACCCCATCAGGGATTTGAATATACTGGTTTGGTTTGTTTATTCGTAGATAAACAAAGAACCCAATCACTTAGTATATATATTATCGACATGATGGTAATTAGCGTTTATTTCTTCGTACTTTATCGGAAATGTTTCGTTGATCAGCTTATTGCTAATCATAAAGTATCTAATCCACTTAGTGATCTCTTGTTTATGATAAATAAACACATGTAATTGTACTTACCAATCTACATTTATGCTTTTATATACATACTGTGGTTGACAGTAAAAACAGTTTCAGATGTTCCATCACCTGTTGAGCTTGACGTTAGTTAACACTTTTAAAACTCATTCTGTACGCTTCCTGTCCGTACGCCCTTTGATTTTTGAATCTGTGTTATTTGGTTACTGATTTCCACACTTCTTATTGAGTTTATTGTGGCCAACTCTTGAGTGGCCCTTTATCTGACACCATTTGCATCGTAAGAATGATTGTTATGGGAATATGCATGTCGCCAACCCTCATATATTTTCATTGGCTTAAATCGCGTTAGCGAATAACAGAATTAAGTAAGTCAAATACGAGAATGGATTTTAAATACGCATATTCCATACAATCGTTGATCCAGACAGAAGATCAGAGAAACGAAACAAAGAAAGCGAAGCGCAACGAAATGATGCGCAGTCAAGATGGCAAGTGAGCCAACTCGATTTAATCAAGCGTTGGTTGATATTTATAGTTGTTGGGGTGATCCAGAAAACCTCTCGCAAAACACAAGAAAGGCTCAGGAAGCACTAAGAAGCATTTTATCCGACCAGCGTTCACTTGAAGTTTAGCCAGAAACATCAAGAAAGTGAGAAGTTTCTGATTAGCTGATTACTATACTGGCATTACTATACTAGCATTCCAGAATTTTCGGGAGAACTACAATGAATATTTTTTTGGAGCAACTAGAAGCTTATATGGAGCAGATATTCTGCAAAACCTTACTTCAAGAAATACAGGTCTGGCGTATTAACGAAAATAATATTGGTATCACATAATCAAGCACGAAATTGCCGCCAAAGAAAATACGTAACCTTAGATATTAATGAACACCGTACTCGCCTTCAGCTTGATACAGCTTCTGATATTACTCTAATCAGCCCAGAAACATGGAAGAACATTGGAAGACCCACAGTTTTCCCAACAACAGCTGGCACACAGTGCGTCTGGGGGGGGAAGTTAAATATTGTTGGAGAAGTACCATGCACTGTTTCTAAAGGTACTGTAACAACAAATGCAACAGTATATCTTACAAAGAAACCAGCACTCGACTTAATGGGGTTAGATCTTATAGAAACACTTAACCTAGCAGACCATTCTATTAACAGTATCTGCAGACGAATCAGAACTGACAACACTCCAGAGTGGAGCCAGAAAAATGCCATGCTACAAAGACACCAAAACGTGTTTAAAGAAGGATTGGGGGGATGTACGAAGGCCAAAGCAGTGCTAACTCTAAAATCTGCAGCTACTCCCGTTTTTCGACCTAAAAGTCCTGTACCCTATGCTGCTCTTCCAAAAGTTGAACAAGAATTACAACGACTTCAGCAAATGGGTGTTATCGAACCTGTGAACTTCTCAAACTGGGCTGCACCAACAGTGGTGGTCAATAAGTCGGATGGAACATCCGTCTATGTGCAGACTACTCTACTGGATTAAACGAAACTCTATAGTCTCACCAGTATCCGTTACCCTTGCCGGAAGATCTTTTAGCTAAGCTGAACGGTGGCAGATATTTTGCGAAATCGCACTTATCAGACGCATACCTACAAATCCCGGTATCTGATGAAAGCAAAGATCTCCTAGCGATCAACACACACAAAGGACTGTTCCGGTATAATCGACTACCTTTTGGGGTGAAGACGACGCCCTCTATTTTCCAGCAAATTATGAATACCATGTTACAAGGTATTCCAGAGGCAGCAGCTTATTTATACGACATCATAATTATGGCAGCAGACAAAATGGACCCACAGAAGAAACTGGACCAGGTACTAGAACGCATAGCCGATTATGGTTTTCGCCTCTGAGCGGAAAAGTGTGACTTCTATATGCAGCGAGTACGATATCTTGGATTCATAATAGATAAAGACGGAAGACGACCAGATCCAGAGAACATTGAAGCTGTGAGAACAATGCCTAGACCCAGGGACATTACTACCCTACGATCGTTCTTGGGATTGGTCAGCCGTTATGGTATCTTCCTTTCCGATCTCCATCGTCTATGTGCTCCACTAAACCCCCTACTAGAAACGAATACAAGATGGAATTGTCTGCGAACTGTCAAGCATCTTTCGAGAAAATCAAGCAACTCCTAACTTCCAATTTCTTATTGACACATTATGATCCCTCGCTACCGATAGTCGTTGCTTCAGATGCTTCTAACTATGGTGTGGGCGCAGTCATCTCTCACATTTTTCCTAACGGGTCTGAAAAAGCTATCTCCCACACTGCCAGATCTTTGACAACGACCGAAAGGAACTATAGTCACATTGAGAAGGAAGCCCTATCAATTATCTTTGCAGTGAAAAAGTTCCACAAGATGATGTATGGTCGACATCTTACCCTAATAACAGATCATAAGCCACCACTTGCAGTTTTCGGGTCAAAGAAAGGAATTCCTGTTCATACAGCTAACCGACTCCAATGATGGGCAACCACACTTCTGGGTTACGACTTCAAGATCAAGTATCAGTCTACTACCGCTTTCGGGCAAGCTGACACATTGTCAAGATTAATAGGCTCCCAATCAAAAATCTCAGAGGAGACTCTTGTAGCAAATATAATAGCTGAGGAAGAAGTCCGTCGCGTATTGGATGACGCAATTAATGGACTCCCATTAACCTTTGAAACTATCAAGAAGATCACTGAAAGTGATAAGATATTGGACACAGTTAAATGCTATCTCTCGACCAAATAGCCAAACAATCGCCTTGACGGAGAACTTTTGCGATATTTTCGTCGACGGGACTCACTAATGGTTGTCGACTCGTGTATTATGTTCGGTGATCGAATTGTTATTCCGAAGTTATTACGTCACACTGTTCTCAAGCAGTTTCACAGTGGCCATCCTGGAATCAATAAAATGAAATCGTCGGCTCGTAGTTACGCTTATTGGCCGTCATGCATTCAAGCTGCTGAAAATCCTTTGAAATGTGAACCTCATTATTGGCCAGAGACCTTAATGACTGATAATGGCTCGCAGTTCGTCGCAGAATCGTTTAAACATTTCTGTAGCGTAAATGGAATAACTCATCTTCGTTCTTCGCCGTATCATCCGCAATCGAACGGACAGGCAGAACGCTTTGTGGACACCTTTAAACGAGCATTACTGAAAGGGGGAGGCGAAGGGACAACTGGACAGGTAATCACAAAATTTTTAACAGAGCCACTCCGAACCTAAATGTTCCAGATAGTAAGTCCCCTGCCGAAGCCATGTTCAGAAGGCGTATTCAAACGGTTTTCAATGCCATGTTACCATCCAAATTAGTGAATGGGCACAGTCAAAATCCACATATCCGGAGCTCTAATATTGGCGACGAAGTTTTCATTAAATCCTACATCGGGAAGAACCGATGGGAGCCGGAAGTTGTACAAAAATTGGGAAGAGTTCTGTACAGAGTCCGAGGATCTTTTGGAACATGTATACGACATACGAATCAAATCTATGAGGACAAAGGAACGATGCAGACTCAAAAAAACCGGCCGAATTTTCCGTTGGAGTTAATCTTAGACACACCAACGCTACATATGCCCAAGGACACTGAAAAGAAGCCTCGAACAAGGCAGACGACAAGAATAATGGGACGCCACCGCAGCCCAGTTGTCAAGCTACCATAGAAAGAAATCTTATTCGAGGAAGGTGTTGAGTCGGCTTTCCGAGAACTACAACGGAGCCTCCAGAGGCCCTAAAGGAGCCGAAGAGTCCTAGCCAATCAGAGCGTGACGGAGCTTTCTAGAATATCAACGTGCCGTGCTACTATTGGTCAGTAGCATAATATGTCTTTTAGTGGATTGGCCAAAATAAGATGTTGATTTAACGAATGTTAACATCTATAAATACCCGTGTTTTTCTGTACAGAAATGAACCTTGGAGTGAAGTACTTCTCGCATACCTTGCGTCTTCTCTCTCGCTGTATAGTCCTAGCTTGGGGGTTACAGAATAGCTTAGGAAACGAATATAGCGTTCAATCCACAAGACTTGTCAAAGATAACGAAGGAACCAGGAGATGACTGGGCGAAACATGCAGAAATTGTGAACCGAGAATTTGAGAGGTTCAAGTTGTCTTCCATGACTGAAGATCAGTTTAAATGTCTAGTATTTGTCTGTAGCCTGCGTTCACCCGAAGATGCTGACATCCGAACGAGAATCCTTAGCAAGCTCGAACACTGTCCCAATATGACCCTGCAGGAAGTAACTGCCGAATGTTAAAGGTTAGTGAATTTGAATCATGATACCTCGATGGTAGAGAACGGTAACCGGTTCCTTCCCGTCAATGCAGTTGAGAGAAAAGTCTCACGAGGTTCCATCACGCAGAATTATCGTAATGACAGCGACAAACCATCATTCCCATACTGGTTATGTGGCGGTCGGCATTTCAAAAGGTTTTGTTTGTTTAAAACTCATCGTTGTACTACGTGTTCCAGAAAAGGGCACAAAGAAAGTTATTGCAAAACCCGAAAACGCCGTCAATCAAAAGTGTATTCTAAAAGATTCAAGCAACAAACGGCTAAAGTAACAGTAGCTCTTCACAAAGCCGGCTCTCATAACTGTAGAAGTATGTTTCTCTCAAGATTAATGGGTATGATACCCGCTCACAGTTAAACGCAGCCTCCGATATAACACTTATAAGCAGGAGAACGTGGGAGAAAATTGGGATGCCGCGAATATGTTCAACTCATCAATCAGCACATAGTGCATCCGGAGGAATTCTAAGTATTGCTGGTGAAATTCATTGTGAAGTCACAGTCAAAGAGTTTACGGTGAAAGGTGTAATATTTTTGACAGACCGTCCAGCACTCGACTTATTGGGGCTTGATTGGACAGAAAATTTGAAGTTAATAGACCATCCCATAAACTCGATCTGTAACAACGTCAGTACGTCGAAAGTTGATGAGAAAAACTCAGTAGAAGCATTATTAAAACGACATGAAGTGGTATTTAGTGATGGTCTTGGAGAATGCACTAAATTTAAAGCCGCTCTTACCCTTGGACAGGGATCAAGACCAGTGTTTCGATCAAAAAGACCTGTATCATATTCTGGGTGTCATTGAACTGGTGAATTTTTCAGAATGGGCCGCACCGATAGTAGTAGTAGAGAAGACTAATGGTAGCGTCCGTTTATGTACTGATTACTCAACCGGGTTGAATGAAGCCTTAAAAACTCATCAGTATCCATTACCCTTACCTGAAGATCTTTTTACTAAACTAAATGGAGGTAAGCTATTTGCAAAGTTGGATTTATCAGAATCTTATTTACAAATTCATGTTGCTGACGAGTGTAAAAATCTGCTCACCATAAACACACAAAAGGGCCTATTCCGGTATAATCGACTACCCTTCGGAGTCAAGACGGCCCCATCTGTATTTCAGCAGGTAATGGATAGTATGCTACAGGATGTTCCAGGTGCTGCAGCTTATCTGGATGATATAATAATTATGGGAGTAGATAGAATAGACTTAGAAAAGAAGCTCGACCAGGTGCTGTCGCGAATAGCCGAATATGGACTTCGGCTTCGTCCAGAGAAATGGAACTTTTGTATGCAAAAATTTCGCTACCTCGGATTTATAATCGACAAAGATGGCAGAATACCAGATCTAGAGAATACCCAGGCAGTGAAAACTATGCCGAGACCGACGGATGTCCCCACACTATGATCCTTTTTGGGACTAGTTAATCATTATAGAGCTTTTATTCCGAACCTTCATCAATTACGTGTCCCCTTGAATAAGCTTCGGGCGAAGAATGTAAAGTGGGATTGGTCTGTGACTTGCTAAGCTGCTTTCGGTGAAATCAAGAAAGTCATGTAGTGACTAAGTTTGTTTTCACTTGATAATGTAAATTCCAATCCTATTCAAGCTGATTTTAAAGTTATTAATTACTTTGACGTCGCGGGGTTGGATCGTGAATGCGCACTGCTGAGCAGTCTTATACTAGGAATAAACGGCCTTCCAGGTTTTCCATGGTGATCTAGCTTCAATTAACTCATGAATTCAACTATTAGAAGTACCAGTTTGATAATAAAATTATAGTTTTCACCAGTGCCATATTTTCAACTTTAAGAATGAAAAGTGGTTAAATTGCATAACTACTGAATACATTAGTCAGTAGTTTCAGAATGCTTATACAAATAGCTTATATATGGTTGGTCTCAAATTGTTTTATTTAGTTGACGAATATTATTTTTTTATTTGTTACTATTGTGCCATGTTATTGTCACGGTATGATAAAGGGTGCGTGATAAAATATTTGGTCTTTAATTAATTCATGCATATAGATGTGTAAATCAGATAGTCCTTTTATTCATTACTTGGTCATGAAATACAACTCTGTCTTTAAGTCTTACCGTGTATTTAAAGTGTAGACAATCAGTTTCGGTTTGTGTGTATGGTTTACTGGATAGTGCAAGTGTTTGTGAAACATGGATATAAATATCACCTGTAAACGGTAGTTGTTGTTGCTATAACTATACTACTCATGAGTAACTCGAATTTGTTTTTTGCTCTTTATCGGTTGATCGTAATCTGTTTTAGTGCTTTATGAAAGTTTTTCGTTTTGGTCTTATTGAACCAGTCATTTTGTGCCTGTGTGCGTTGAGATTTGACTGTTGTTGCTGAGTTCACCATCTTTAGTGGGATTTCAACATAAACTAATTATCATTTATTGTAGACCCAAACATCATTCATATATTTTCATACGTAAATATTCCGAGTAGCTAAGGTAGGTAGCCCTTTGACTACATTTGACGTCAAGTAAGCTTTTCCGGTAAGTCTTACAGCAGTAGTTACATCTATTCAATTTCACAGTTGGCTAATATATTTTGATTTAATTTGTTTAAAAATTGGTTTAATTTATTTGTTTCTCACTCTTCCGGCTTTACAATTAGGCGAAAAGTTCGCATGTGAACATTGTGAAAAGAAATTCAAGACAAAGTCTTATTTGAATGAACATGTGAAAGTTATTCATGAAGGTAGTTTAATCATTGAGTAGCATTTTGACTTTCTGTTTATTGTGCATCTATTTTTCCATGTTTATTTTTGGTTTAGTTAAATAAAACAATAAGGTTGAAAAACGATTAATAGTTTGTCGGTGATTATGTAAATTACTGTAATGCTGTGTTCATTTTTTGGTTTTTTCGTTCTAACTCGCGATTTTGGATATGACTCCACATAGTACGGTTATAATCATAGATTGTTATATATGATTCGATTCTTTGCACATTTTAAGAGTTTTATCATTTTTATTATTACATGGAAACATGATTTATTCTAGCTTCTGGACAGACAAATTGTTCTGATTTTTCCAGCTGTTATTCATATCTTTCGCCTTGCCAGTTTTCACATATAGCCCTGATCATATTTTGTGCATGATTGTACGTACGTGTCTATTCACCCCCTGTATTTTTTACATGCCTTATAAAATCTGAGTCACGTTACTGATCTCAAAGTCGGTGTATTGCCGAATCCCAGTGCTTTATCCGTCCGCTGCATCCTTTATTTCTTTTCTGTCGTTCAGTCTTATCATATCTGAAATGAGTGTATCTTAAATACCAATTGTATTCTACTTTTATTATCATCTACGTCGTTTTATCACGTGATTTGTTGATAGCGTTTACAAGGTCAATTTGTATACACATTTCATTAGCACCGTGATCCACTAATGATTTTCGTCGTTGATGGAGTCAACCCTGTGCGCTACACACTAAACGTTTGCAATATTAACCTCCTAACCAAGGTTCAGGTTCACATGATTCTATTCGTCCGAATGCGATAATACAACTGACTCATTACCTCAAGATTAGTTACCGTATACAAGTCAAAATTTAACTATATGGTTATAGTCCTTGTTGGAGCTTTGGTAACTACAAGAAATGATACTGAACAGAGGAATTAGTCTATAAACAAAGGTGACTTAATGATCTAAATATTGTTAGAAAGTAAAAAAAATGTGATTGGGTAACTTTCATATCTCGGTCAGGAGAGATTACCTAGTTAAGTTACTCAACCCCTTAGTGATTCAAGTGTACTTCATCCATGTGTATAAGGATCAGTCTGTTCATCAAATAAGAAACTTTTGAAATATTTTAGCAATTAACCTTCATTTATGCACATGTAAACAATGTTACTCGTTTTACTGTAATGAAATTTCCCTGAACATCAAGTACACCGTTGTGTTTATTTAATTGTAAATTAGATTACTGCTCACGTGTAGAGAAAGCAAGTCCTTTTCCACTATTTAATAAAATTTCAAAATCTTTTATTTTCGAGCATCTTTCTGTTCATTTAGTGGATGATTGTTGCATATTAAAGTATGGTCTTCACTAGATACTTTATTTCAATCATCTAAAGCTATCTAGACTTGTCATCTGTGAACACGTCACTGTAGAGTATGCTAACTTGAAAGAGGTAAATAAAGTAAAATTTAGAGCTTAAAATAAAGTCCTCAGTGAAAATCATATTCTTTATGAAGCATTCACCTACCAAGTGAACTGAAAATCACCCAATAATGGCTGTTACCGTGCGTATATTAAGTACTGATAAACGCATATGCTATATGTTCATGAACACGTATCTTGTCTCTTTGCTCTTCTAGAGGGAAAATCATCACTGAAAGAAATACAAATTGACAGCAAACAGAAAATGTTTAGTGTCACTGATTTACATTAAAATGTAAACAATGTCGAATGATTTCATCTTAAAATTTTAAGAATGACGTTTGGTGTTTGAACATGTTAATTAATGACTAAATGTTAAATGATCGACTGTAATGAAAACTGTTAATTCAGTTAAATGTATTTGTTGTTTTATTTGTTTGGCTAAATTTCGATTTTGTTTTTCTTTCTGTGGTCACTATAGCAATGACAGAATTAACATATTTTTCCTCGTTGATTTATTATGCACACACACATATATATTTTTTAATGATAATTATACAGGTATTTTAATTCAATGTGATGAATGTGGCGATGGATTCAAGTCTACTAGTTCACTTAAAAATCATATAAATTTAGTGCACAAAGGTACCCTATTGATTTTGTTCTATTTTAATACAATGTTCACTTAAATTTAAATATAACGGGAAATGTGTAGTTGGTGTAAATATCTATCAGTTCTACATGAGATGAATTAGATCAAACTTGAATAACTTGGTAATTTAATCCTTAAGTGTAACGCTGGATAATACAGTTTAAAATCTCTTAGGGGAGAATCAGTTTCATTAAGATTTCAGGTACGCCTTACTGACTGATGAATATAAATTCACGTAAAATCTTATCCTAAGTTTTCCTACCGATTGCTTCGAATTATCTCACATTGAGAATTGGTTAGCTCACACAATCTTGATTTGAATCAATCAGTGGCTACATTGCTACTTGATCGACCAATATTTCACTAGGTCTAAGAATTTAACTAACATGATATTGGTTATTACTCAGTGATCAATAAATTATTTGATAATATCGTAGTTTTCTATTGTACTTAGAAATAAGACATGTTACTACTTACGTTATAAAAAAATAACATAGTTTTTTCATCATATGTTGAGGAACGTTTGACAACCACGGTGTATCAAAAACCCAATCTGTTTTAAATTTAAAACCCACCTTTGTGTTATGTACTATCGACAACCTCAAGAATAATAATATCCACCCAACCATCTTAAGCATTCTTGCCTCTATTAGTATTTCCTGATTTTATCCAGAATTATGTCTCATACACTTTTAAGCTGTGACAAAGTTCAGAAATTGTCACCATTGCTTTTCAATAGGTCGAGATCCAATTTTTTACAATTTCTAGCTAATTATATTTCCTACTATTGAATTTTACACTACGATTTTATGATACGTCATAAACGTTTTAAAAACATCAGACTTTTGTTGTTTTTCTAATGATATTTATATTTTCAAATTAGTGACTAGTAGGATGATTTCAAATCGATTTATCTAAATATTTAACTCAGTTTTTTTGTTTGTTTTGGCAGTCAAACATCAGAATATCAATAATTACACTGGTTAATGTATAATCTTTTGTCAAATTATCAAGTTATTCAAAAATGAGAAAAAACAATTCTCACGTGATAACATTGTTGTTCTACTAGTAGATATTTAAGTTCAGGTTTATTCACTTTCCTACCTGGTTGTCCTAATCGAAATAAAAATATTGATTATTTTATGACCCAATGTTGTTGGTTTGATAATAAAAAACTGGTTGGTACTAAATTATCACACGGATGGCAACAAATTATGATTGTTATTTCTAAGTGAATCGTGTCACCTATGTAGCGATAGTGCTTTTTTTCTGAGAACTTTGGACCTTTAATCAACCTTAAATTTTGATCGAAAACAGTGTAATATGATTTACGCTAATTGACTTAACGACAGATTATCCATTTTAATTATACTTAAATCATCCAGCTTCATAAATGAAAATGTAGACTAGAGTAACCTATACATTGGTCGATAACTTGAAATGTCCATATCTAAATAAGCCAATTCCTATTTGAGAGGGGTTCGAACTGGAATCCTGGTGATTAAAAGCCTAATTTTTTATCTATTAAATTACCAGTTCAATGTTTACTTAAGTATAAAGTCGTTATAAAATATTAATCTTCTTTCTTAAAAATATCTGGAAGTGATATGGTGCTTTAACCTCGAATAATCATTGATATGGTAATGTTAAATAAACTGATCTTATTTTTTCTTCTCGTTCTACGTACATGTAAATGTTTATCTAATCAGGTTTGGGATTTCAATGTCATTATTGTAATAAAGTGTTTACACAGAGACATACCTTAATAATACATGAAGAATGTGTTCATAAAGGTAAGTTAAACAAGATTGCGTATACCCATATTTTTGTGTATCATCCATGTTATTTAGAATTACAACCCCTATTGTAAAAAATAAGCAAGAAATTTGACCACATCATTAAAGTGTGAGTTGGTAAGATTTTGAATATTCTCACTAAATGTCTATTGTTATCAGTGGGAAATTAGTGTAGGTAAAGTCATTTTTTGTGACAAGGATTATGTCCAAGGGCCAAAATCAGATACGTGTCAGTCTGGTTGATGACTGGAGTCTATGCCACTTTTGGGTTTGGTGGGGATCAAGTTTATTAGATCTTAAAGCTCATCGACGATCGGTAATTTCATTTGTTGATGTCGTGCAGTTACCAACGCACAAGGACTTCTTCCGTGTTGAGTCAAGCGGCTACATTTCTCTGGTATGGCACTCAAAAGCTAACTCAGAACTGGCAGACCAAGAAAGTTCGACTTTCTAATTAAAGCAAAGCATTGCAAAGTTTACTGTTTGGTTTTAACCCAACGTGATTTCTGCCTAGGGCTCCAAATGAGTTATCAGTGGTCAATCAGGTTTTAAAGGTAATCGTTACTAACAATTTTGTTATACGAATGATCAAGCAGAATATTTAAAATTTGAATTTTGTCAAAATAGAAAAAAATACTTGACAGAGTCGTTAGACATCAATGTTAAAATCATCAAAAGGAACAAAAATGTTGGTTCTATCCACCACCAATATTGAACCCCTACGGTATCCAAAATTATTTACTTACTGAAAATAATTACTCCACTATAAGTACTTTAGGATGATCAAATTATATCACTATTGAATGTTCAAATGTTTTACACAATCTATTTTCCATGGGTTCTTACATGTCCAATGAATCATTTTTAAAGTATACTTTTTTTGTATACTACTTGACAATCCATACTATTTGTATATTAGTTTGCATTCGATTAATATATATATTATTATAACTATTATTATGGACATATAACTGTAGAGTCTTATGATGAAGTTATTGAAAACAATTGTTCGCTCAAATATTCTTTATTTTTGAATACTGTTTGAGGATTTTTAAACTGCTTATATATATATGCTTGAATCTTTCATCCCTTTGAAGGAATAGGCTGCCCTCTAAGGGTCTCCAAACAACTCTGTCTTCGCTCCTCTTTCCAGCTTTCATTAAGTGCTATGCATGGTTCTGATCTCTGTCTTCAAATTCCGGCTCCATATGTTATTCACTCTCTTTGTTTTCCTTTTTCCCTGAAGATTCAAACTTAGAGCTTGCCTTGTTCGATGGTTTCGACAAATTGTATCCTATGCTTCTTCAGCTGCCAGTTTGTTTGTTCTTTTCTACAGTAGGTTATTGCTAATCGTTTCGATCAATTGATCTAGAGCATCTTGTGTAGGCAGCTTTTTGTGAATACCTGTACATTTTTGGTAACGATTGCGGCAACTCGTCAAGTTTCAGCTCCATACAATAGAATTGTTTGGATGTCACTGAAAATCCTGACTTTAGGGTAGGTTGACAGTTGTTTTGAGCGTCACATATTCTCCAGTTGTAGAAATGTCTCCCGTGTTTTCCCAATGATTCCCTTGACATCTGTATCAAACTCTCCTTGTTTGTCGGTGACTGTCCAGGTATGTAAAACTTTCTATCTCTCTCAAAGCTTCTCCATCAAGTGTGACTGGGCTGGCGCTCTCTGTATCGTATTACAAAGTCTTACTTTTTTCCTTGTGTATGTTGAGGCCTACTGTCGTAGAAGCAGCTACTACACTTGCTATCTTCACCTGCATTTGTTTTTGAGTATGGGATAGAAGAGCTTGGTCATCTACGAAGTCCAAATCGTCTAGGTGCATTGAAGTTGTTCATTGTATTCCGTGCTTTCCCTGAGATGTAGAGGTTTTCATAAAATAGTCAACTACAAGACGAGAGCAAGCATCCTTGTCTGACACTGGTCCATACTTGAAATGCATGTCACCTGTCCTCTATACGCGACTTTACAGTGTAGTCCATCTCAAGAACTCCGAGTGATGCTGACGATCGTCACAGGAACACCATGGTGTCGAAGAAAATTTCACAAGGATCTCATATCCATGCTGTCAAATGATTTCTCATAGTCGAGGAAGTTGATGTATGGTAATGATTTTCATTTAAATGATTGTTCAACTGTGATTCGAAGTGTTGCCATTTGATTGGTAACGATCAATCCATATGGAATGCAGCCTGTGTTGATCTCGACGTTAGATGTCTGCTTTATCTTTCATTTGGTTCAGCAACACTGTTGTTGCACTTAACATATAAATTATTTTTAATCTAACCCCCGAAGTATTTCAAATCAGTTTTCGTCACGACATGTAGGTAGTGTTCGTCATAAAACCAACTCCTGGGATAATTGTCATGCATGGTCACGAGTTTAGTACGACTGTATAATCTTGAACTACGACGAAACGGTTATTTAATGAATGTTTCATGTCTTTTTTTCATAAGAAATAAACCTGAATTCATGCACTCGACAAATTTCTTATATCACTAGTCAAAGTATTTCTAAACTGTAGGATATGCCGCACTGGATGATTTTGTGTAATGTTTGAAGCTTGTAGACTTCTCTATCATAATTATCGTATGTTTATACAGTGGAAAAGTAAATTCATTATTTTGTTTTAATTTCTATTTTTTCCTCCCTATACAGGTATCAAAATATCATGTAATCATTGTAGCAAAAAATTTGCATCTCGATGGTATTTAAAAGAACACATCACAATCGTCCATGAAGGTAAGTTGGATGTTGTTTTGTTTCATAAATTTCCTGTTTGACGCTCATTCCTCTACATAACTATTAAACAATAAGTTGATATTTGTGTAACTGACCGAAGTGTTTTCATATACCTTGAGACTAATGTAAGATGGTATAATTACTTGTGTACATTAATTTCTATCGCAAGCTGATGTCAGTTGGAGAAACACTGGAGATAGACATGTGATGGATAAGTGTTTAATTCTAATTTGAATCTCTTCAGTTTTTGCGGAAAATTCACAAAAAACACTCTAACTAATTGATTGGTTGACTCAGCACTATGGTCTCTACAACCTCGGACGATCCTTAATGTTATGTGATCATTTACTATGGAGAATAACAAAGGTAAAACGGAGCACTGGTTCAGTGCTTCCTGGTTTATAATGAATATTCAACCGACAACTTCTCACGTAATAGCGGGGTTACTGTATTGTGCAACGGGAGAGCGTTTGTAATATGTACTTCGCAAATAAGAAAACAACACTGGTGCAGATGATGAATTATTTCATCCTTCAAAATATAACAACTAGTTTGCAGTTGATGAACTAAAAATCACATATAAGGAAAATACAAAATTGATGTTACACTAAAGCAGCAAAAGACGCATGCTTCATGTCATACTGAACAAAGTTCACACTAAGTGAATACGAGGAATATTATTCCGAACATACGTCACACTAATAAAATTCATTTTATACAAAACAAAATATCACACTAATAATGAACAAATATCCTATTAAGCGGCAGTGACGTAAAGAACAGATTTATTTTTTCAAATAAAAGTCACTATACTAAAACCACTTCACGTTTTTATCCCATCCCAATAATATATATGTAGAATCACATAATAGATAAACTACTTGTATGTATTGTGTTCCAACTGTTCGATAGTTTTTGATTGAGATCATAAAGTGATTGATTTTAGACCACCATTGGAAACCTGGGAGCACTAGACGGCCGTTTCGTCCTCCTTGGCAGTGCGCATCCATGATCCCGCTCACAGGATCTCAATCAAACACTTAATAATCTCTACAACCCCTATACTGTTCGATAGTTGTTAGGCAATTACTTAACATAAATGGAAACGACTGTTTTGACTATGAAACAGTTCATTCATTTGTAATATTCACATCCCATCATGGTACATGATTCATTGCAGTGAATATTGTATATTGTGTAATTACTTGTATGCAATTTCATATGAAAAATGAAGTAAATTTCATCACTTTTTCAATACATTTGTTTAAGCTTATATCTATTAATCACGTTATCTATTCACATGCTTTTATAAAAATCCTATAACTTGTCGCTCTCCTGATTACTGCAATCCTCGAACAGATCAATATCTTGCTAAATTTTTCTGATTGTCTACTTTTTAGTTGAGTAAGATGCAACTGTAATTGGATTTGATCCAGATGCAATAAGAGTACAAATACTTTTGACACTTTTAACATATCATTATTATAACCTAACATAATATATAACTGAATGCAGAATAATTGTTTGCAAATCATTGTTATGTGTACCATAATTTTTTTCACTTTTCTAGGTAATTTACTAAAATGTGAACTTTGTGGTCGGTCATTCAATTCACATTGTGCATTACGTTATCATTCTAATATTGTTCATAAAGGTTGGTGAATAGTTTGTCAATACTAATTTATTTGTAACTAGAAGTTTTTTTATTTGTCTTGCTACTCTTGACTCCCCAAACATTGATATCTTAACCGCTTCCTATTCTTTAGAAATCTCCCTTTCTCTAACTGCGAGCAGAGAAGAAATGGTTGGAAATATAGAAGTTTTACTTCATAGGTTATATTATGTACAGGAAACTAGAGTATTGGTGAGTTTGAGGTATTCAGAGCTGAAGCAAAAAGTCACTGCTTCGGTCTGGGCACCCGGGTAATATTACAGCCCACACACAAAGCAAATGACAATTATTACTGGAAACATTCTTGCTTCAACTAACATTCAAACAAATCACATTCATTATTATTATTTTTATATACCACGTCACTTATTTACTCTCTTCTATTCTCACTTAGTGTATTCTTATTTTTAACTTATACTGCAGCTCTCCTGTGGTGGAAACCCTGTTCTATCTAAACGATCTCGAGTCACTGACTGGTCGAAAATTGAATGCTACCACCGAATACGAATACTGAAACAGTCTTTCTGAAACCGTATATACCATTCAAACTGGCTTCCTTCAACGTCCGCACACTAATGCAGATCGGAAAACAGATAGGGTTGGCTGTGTCTTTAGAAAGTCTTAATATCGATGTCTGTTGTATATCCGAGACTCGTATTCAAGACTTTAGTGAGGTATTACAAATTTTTCCCCCATATGTAGCTTCAAAAGGCTTGTTTCATGCGAGTTTACCCGAGGATCATGTGGCATTTCCGTCTGGTTTTGCTGGCATTGGTGTCACACTAAGCGCTAGAGCTGAGGTAGCACTGACCCATTGAATCCCCATTAATAGTCATTTATGTGCTGCTAGACTAGAAAATTCCATCGAAAAGAGAAGAAATCGGCGTGAGAAACCATGCCTTTTCGTCATCTCCACCTATGCTCCGACAGATTGCAGCCCGGATGCAATCAAGGATGAGTTTTACCACCAGTTATCTGTTCTTCTCCAGAAAGTGCGTTCGACAGATATTGTAGTACTAGCCGGAGACTTGAATGCTCAGGTCGGGCGTCTAGGCACAGAAGAGAGTCGTTTAGGTGGCCGATGGGGACTTGTTGGTCGCAGGACAGGTAGTGGAGACCGTCTACTGCAACTGTGCGCAGACTACAACCTGTTTCTAGCTAGCACTAAATCCCGGCACAGTCATCGCCGATGTGTTACCTGGCGTTCTCCCTCTATATCTCAGGCCTGGACTCAGATTGATCACACCGTGATCAGCTACCACTCGTGTGGTTGTGTACAAGACTATCGCTCCTTTTGGAGTACCTATCTGATCTCTGATCATGCCCTTGTTTGCGCTATTCTTATTTTAAGTTTCAGTAGCCAACACATTCATTCGCCTAAATGGATCGATGCCAGTAAATTGGTTGAAGCATCTGTTGCAGTTAAATATCAAACCGCGCTAGGTTCAAGGTTAGCTACCATTCCACCGAAAAGTATACATGAGCATTGTTTGCAATTGCATGACGCCATGAAAATGGCGAGTAAAGCCGCTTGCGGCTTCGCGAAACGTTCCACTGGGTTTCTTCAGGCTCCTTACAACTCATTGAAGCCCGTCAATCTACTCCAGGTGATTTCAAGTTTGAATATATACGAAGAAATTGGGCGAAGCTTGTGTAAGGACCGACAAGCCTGGTGTTCGGAGCGTGCTGATGAGCTGGAAGCAGCAGCTGCATCTGGTAACTGCGTAAGCTCTTCCAACTCACAGGCTGCAAGAAGTTTGTTTTGAGCGAAACAATCTATGAGGATGACGGGATGCCAGTCAATAGCATCTATAGACGTCTTGAACGATGGGCAAAGTTTTTCAAGGAGCATTTCAACTGGTTTGGTACCCTAGCAACATTAATCAGACTGTCCTACCCTACATGGGCTGTGATGACTGATCCACGAAACGAGACGGAAGTCTGCAAGGGACTTTAACTCTTGAAAGGCTACAAATTACCAGGCCCAGATGATTTACGTTCAGTCCTTTTCAAAGATGGTTGGGACTTTCCTTTTTATTGAACTGACTGAGTTGTTAACAAATGTTTGGGACTTAGAGAGTGTTCCAGCATCACGGGATGAGTCGATAATTCTCCCTATCTTTAAAAAGGGTTCACATCGTTTCTGAACAACTATAGCGGGATAAGCCAGCTTTCGATAGCGTTCAAACTACTGTCTTCCGTCATACTTCGTAGATTGTTCAAAACCCGAGGAAGATTGATCCGCGAGCAACAAGCAAGTTTTCGTCCCAATCGAATGTGTCTATTGAAGAAGGGTGTGCCTGAGAAGTTTATTAACATCACAAAAGGCCTATATACAAATACATAAGGTAGAGTGAGGACATACAACGACCTTTCTCCGTTGTTTCATTCAAGCAGTGCGGTTAGACAGGGTTGCCCAATCTTACCATTCCTCTTCAAATTTGCTGTGGATGAAGTCCTGGATACAGCTCTGATGGATGTAAATGACGGTGGTGTGGATATATGTTGCGTGGCGAATGACTTTTCGACCTTTAGGATGCGGATGATATTGCCTTACTGTGCGATGATACTCAAGCCATACAATCTGAACTGAAAGGACCCTGATCCTGCACTCACGCGGGGTAGTGAGCAGATAGTAGTCGAGAAGTTCGTGTATCTGGGTAGCTGCATAAATGCTGGTGGTGGCGTGAGTGATCAGATCAATTCACGTATAGGAAAATCCAGAGCGGCTTATGTTAATCGGTGCTATCTCTGGCGCCTTCGCGATGTTAGTCCGGCTGTAAAAGGCCGGATCTACAACGTATCGGTGAGAGCACTTTTGCTCTATGCTTGTGAAACCTGGCCTCTCTGAGTTGAGGATGTTAGACGATTCCGTGTTTGGTCGTCGTTGTCTCCGAAGAATTACTGACATCCAGTGGCAACACCATGTTAGTAATGCAGAGGCTCGACATCATGTGTTCGGGCACAGCGACGATAATTCAGTTAGTATCACTACCTCGAAACATCGACTTCGGTGGCTTGGACATGTTCTGCGCATTTCGTCCCAGAGAATCCCACGTGCATTATTTGCCGACTCTGGGACTGGTTGGAAAAAACGGAGAGGTGGTCAGTGTACGACATGGTGTTGTGGTATGAAAGAAGGCTGTACAGCACTGGCTTCTGTCAATCATTCATAACTCTCTTCTGGGGTTCTAGAGATGGTACAATACAGTGTCTGAAGACGTTATCAAAGCGAACTCAGAATAGAAGTCAGTGGCCATTACGCTGTAACTTTCTCCATAAATGAACTCAACCTCTTTAACTGAAGTTCTTTCTGGTTGTACTTTTGCTAACTGTACTGCCTCTCCCATACACTAATTTCTGTTCGTTGTTCTCCTTTTTGTTGTACGCACTTTACATTCTCGATCTCTTTACAGCCTTAATGTTCTTGTGTGGCGTATATGTATTTGGTGCCCCTTTGTGACAATATTTATATGTTAACTGTACTACCTCTCCCATTACTATTATTTCACTCCCATACACTAATTATTATTTTGATTGAGATCGTGAACCGATCGATGTTAGACCACTATGATCTCAATCAAAACCTTCACAGCCTTATTGTTCTTGTGTGGCGCATATATATTTGACGTACTTTTATGCTAGTATTTATATGTTCAAATGAATAACAAAATTACAGTCAAATTACCATTATGTTCGATAATTATTCAGGTCAACGACGAAAATGTCGGTTGTTTTCCAAAACATATTAGTTTGTTATCCAGAATGATGAGTTCCACATTTTCATATTATTTTCTTGAATATCTTTGTTTTCTCTTGCCTTGAATTTGTCCAGATTATATATACATTGTTCTGATAATCTTCGTCTTATTACACTATCAAAAGTTGCTTTCTAGTTTCGAGAAACCGATTAGTCGCAATGGTTTCTGCATTTTTCCCGGTTTCTGGAGGATTTTTAAAACAAACCATGATATTAACTTCCGCTTTGCCTATTTCAACCCTTAGCATTTTAGAGCGGTTGACTGTAGAATATGTATTAAGGTGGTTATGTCGCTAAACATTTATTTTAATAATCGTCCTGGAATCTTCAAAAAAGTCGTCCAATTCAGCTACGATCTTCCCTTTTGTTAAATAAGATTAAACAAGAAAATAAATCCTGGAAACCATGAATTACAATGATTCCCTAATAAATGGTATTTCTTAACACATTTGTATGTAGAGCATACTAACGTATCATAGTATATTTGTTATGCTGGCAACATTAGGTGTCATATACCAATTAAGTTTTGTTCGACTCTGTAACAATATGTAAGTCGATTATGTTAATAGAATCACAAGATCATATATTTTATATTTGACGTACGGCAAACTGCTTTGGGCATTGCATCAATTTATACGCATAAGTGGGATAGTTTTAAAAAGGCTATCAATTTTGTAAAGCGCCTATATAAATAAATACTTGTAGATCAAACGATTAGTTGTCATATTCAAACCGTCTTCATGTTATCCTGCATGAACAAACTGTAGCCACCAATGAATTTTGATAAAGATTAAAATAAATACTTGAAAGATATAGAGAATAGACACAGTTTATCGTGGACCTTGAAGTCATTGTTAAACAAGAAGCCAAGTCGTTCAGAGTATTGGCAAAAATATTCTGAAATATCAACAATTACAATATTGACTAATTTATATTTTGGAAAATTCACCACCGTTTTCAAGCATAAAACTGGTTATCATATCAAAATTAACTTTGGTTAAATATTACTCAAGTTCCCCATGGATACCTTCTCAATGATTAACTCCAAATTTTCACAGCATAATCAGAAATAATAAAGGCTTCTCAAAAATCAACAAAATTATTTTCCTCAGTAAACTGTCTTAATTTTCCCTTGATAATGGATGGCTGTTTATTTTGTTGCTGAAAAATCATGATCTTATTACATTTTGAGTATTTTACGTTTAAACAAAAACAAATTATTAGCCTATCCTTCATATACCAATTTCAGATCATAAATTCCAATGTCCACATTGTCCCAAGACTTTTCGTTTGAAAAAATACTTAGAAGGTCATGTAAAACGAGTTCATGCTAGTAAGTGAAAAATTTTCAACCAAATTTTTGTGTGAATAAAACTTTCTTTTACAATGAAAATGTTACATTAAGAATTAGCATTAGAAACTAAAGAGAATAATTTAAGGGCGAGGGAGAGATATCAAACAGCTTTTTCCAATCAGATTTGAAGACGCATTATTATACACCTATAACACACGTACACACAATTCATCATATATGATATCTGATAGTTTTGATGACGAATACATTGTACCTTTAGAACTAAGTCTTAATCCCAACGAACTGTTAAGTGCAAGTGATGAAAGTTACCACTGAGAACTCTGTCACTGTTACTGCTATCAAATTTATCTTCAGTTGATACCTCTCAACAATACATAGATGTATTCGTGAATTTATTACCCACAGCCGTGATAATTTACGTTTTATTCAATAGATTGAATGTTCGAATCCTATCCCACCCTATTCCCAGTTTCAACAACCAAATAGTATCATTAGTCCGTTATGCACATACTGTGACTGAAAGCCGAGTACAATAAATATTCACTTGGTCAACGAGTTATTAATTATCAATCGAGCACTAATTTCATAAAATTAACTTTTTTTAATAAAATTATTGAACCAGTCGATATAGTCAATCGCGTTATCGGTTTATGCTTTAATCCAAATATTGTAAGGGGATAAATATCATATTTTGTACATTTGAATGCTCCATTCCAACTCACTGTCCAAACTGATTAATTATCACTTTTGATTGAGTTACTGATTGTTTAAGAAATATAGTTAGCACTGTTTTAGTGGTTGAGGAGCATTCGAATCTTCAGAACTTCGGTTTAGACAACCAAGCAGTATCATTGTTCCTTATCCTCACATGCAAAATCAACATGTAAATGGTATAAAAATAGATGTCATATTATTTCACATCATTTCCTTTTAACGTACTATATCGTTAAATAAGATTAGTTTTTACTATTTTGCCGTTTTTCACTAATTTCTGTTCATTTTAATTCATAGATTTGGGTAAAGGAAATACGCAAACAGTTTAAAATCATAAAATGTATGCACATACGATGAAGATATATACGATTTAGCTTTAATTCTGATTATTATTATCACTACTACTACTAGTAGTAGTAATACTGTTATCGTTGTTGTTTTTAAAATTATTATTACTAATATCCTTCTCTCCTTTATATATTTCCATTTAACACAATTCTTATTGTTTTATCAGTGTGTTATTATTCTTGTCAAACGTGAATCTCCGTTCGCAATTACACTTGTTGTAAACGACATGGAGAAGAGTTGTTTTAGAAAACAATGAAATAAATAATGAACGAGTGAAATGTAAATAAGGCAAACTGCAATGTTTTGCTTCAATTTTTTATCAATGTTTATTTCTTCTCTGTCAGTTTTTTGCTTCGGTTTAAAAGATATATACAACCATTATATATATATATATATATATATATATATATATATATATATATATATATATATATATATATATATATATATATATATATTGGTACGCACTAATTTGAAATACATGAATGCATTTGTTATTATTGATTTACTTATTTACAAATGTTTATCAACACATACCACTTAATAGGGCCGTTTGTTAGCACACTGAAGCAGATTAAAATAACGTTGGCTACAACCAAACCAGTTCACCACTACTCGTTAAAATTCATTGACCATTTTTCTCAAACGTGTCACCAGATGAAACCTAATCAAGGTTTGTATGGTAACCGTAATTCATAGCTGGAAATATGGCTGAAGATTGGTTGCATTTGAACGACGTACTAATTCGTAACCTGTATATAAATTGTCGAGTTTTACTTATCTCACAATTTAGCACTCTGAATATCTTTCGAACCATATTCTTGATGATCAGTTTACTATTATTTGAAGTGCTATCACTTTGTGACAAATTGGGACGACACCGAGCCAGATTCTATGCTATGTACGACTACTGGAATTGGTTACTTATTGACCTTACTAGTTTAGAAAACATTTATTTATTCCACCATCTGCTTCATATACCTCCTACTCTAGAGGCTATTGTAGGATTTAAAGCAGACTGCAAAATTAAACTTTCCTCCACTAATATGCCGAGGAAGGCCGTACAGATCACATATCACTGTATAGTCGGAGGGATTTAATGGAACCGTAGAGGGGCTAATGTAAATGAATTCATTATGCGTGTCACTAAGATCGATAGACATACATTCCTATCAAATACTCTAACTGATGACCTTCTACGACTTGTCTTCAAAAACCTTAATCTAATGAATTTTGGGTAGAATTTAGTACATGTAACTAAATCTTGAGAATTGAAATTTTTCATTTAAGTATAACGCCTATCAATTAACGACTCAGTATTAATATTGCTACTTGAAAGATTTTTTAAAAAATAACTACTGTTCTATGACAGAAAAGAAGTTTATAGATAAATGTTTTTAGAAACGTACCGAGAAACTCGAAGAAATTACAAACGGTCACAGTTTTCAAATCTGTTAAATTACTATTGAATTTACATTTATAACCAACCTTAGTTTGGATTGCATTCATTTTGGGAAATAAGCCTACAATGTCGGCATTTAAGCGAGGACTATGGGGACCGTCCATCGCAATAAGTCATTTCTATGGTCAACATTAAACATTTTTTATTCGGTGACCCTGAGTGTCATTGGACAAAGTAACGGCAAAATATTCATTAGTTTAGTGTACTGTTGTCAGAATATATTTCAGGGTATTCTGATTGATGACTGAACATTGAAAATACTTAGGAGGATTTTCAAGTTCCTTACGTATTTTTCTTAAATTTAGATGATTCATTTTAGAAAGTTTAGTCAAACACTTCCTGAAAATCGCGTTGAAGAACGTTTTCAATCCATAATTATCCGCTATCACTCAACGCTTAACATAAACAGGTCATAATTAAATTCCCAAGTATTCCATCCTGAAAAAACGCTATATTTTCATACAGAGCAAATGAGAGCACTGGGATGCTGTACGATATTCAACAATTCGTTTGATTTTGTATTCTCCAAACCAAAAGTACTGTGCACTGATACACAGACGAACATGTGGAATCACTCGTGACAATCAGAGCAAACTTTTATAGGTACATTGCATATTTGTTTCATCAGACTACATTACGAAAAAATTCAGGTCGATTATATATTCTTGTTGAAATAACGCTCGGTTTGCTCCCTTACACCAATGGGACAGATATTTGCCTTCGACGAATGTCTACACAAGATATCCTGACAGTATCCATTCTACGGGACTTCAACACGACCAGGACCAAAAACACGTGACTGATCTGACTAGAACGTGAGTATATTGCCACGACAACAATAAAAATAAGAGTGGGAACATATATACATATCTACTAGTCTGACTCCCCCACACATCATCCCTCTTGCGAAATTTATTCGTGAGACTTTGTCTTTAGGCTCATTCGTTTGTTTCCGTTCTCTTGATGACCTGCTACTAGCTTCCGGTTTGAACTTAATGATGATGATTGTGCAATGTCAAACATATCACATAAATATGTTGGCGAAATTCTAGCTTCAGATGAATAACTTCTATTTTTTCTATCCCGCAATCGATTTATATGTTTAATAATTAGTGTATTTTCAACCATCACTCAATACAATACCTTTCCATGTCTTTCTTATCCACTTAAATATCCAGTTTGACTCAATGAGTTCAATATAGATCGAAACCAAGCTCCGAGTCCTATAAGATCCACTAAAATGTCCAACACGACGGCCACTTAGAAGGGTTTTATCAAAAAATAAGCTCAACATATTAGCTGCTGCAGCTCACAAAGCACTAGGATAAGAAATGATAACAAACAGTTTTAAAAAAACAGAAACTTGAAAATGTTATTTTGAATAGGAAATCAGGATTTATTTGTTAAGATATCAGAAATTCATCATAGGAAAACGTTGCCTTAATATGATAGGATGTTGAAGTTTTAGCTATAAAGGGCACGCAAACAGAAATAAGTTGCTTGTAGAGGAAAAAAGTAAAACGAGATCGAAAGGAATGTGATACCTTTGCGAAAAAAATGGTGGAAAGAGGTTGGTTCATTTCCCTTTGCATATGAGACTCGAACTTTCTAAACGTACTGCGAATACTTCAGTGAAGCAAAGACGGAAAGTCGCTGACCTCAGAAGCTTTCTGACTTACCTTGTAGAAGATTTCGAACGCTCGAAATATTTCCTTAGCAAAAACCTGTGTTTAGAACGCATCCGACAACGAAGCTACTTACTTATACTACATTAAAGAAAAAGACAGATGATGTTCTCCACTTCGCAGATCAAAAGACATATATTTATTCGGTTTCAACACATAAATATTGTAACAAAGGGGCACCAAATACATATACGCCACACAAGAACATTAAGGCTGTAAAGAGATCGAGAATGTAAAGTGCGTACAACAAAAAGGAGAACAACGAACAGAAATTAGTGTATGGGAGAGGCAGTACAGTTAGCAAAAGTACAACCAGAAAGAACTTCAGTTAAAGAGGTTGAGTTCCTTTATGGAGAAAGTTACAGCGTAATGGCCACTGACTTCTATTCTGAGTTCGCTTTGAAAACGTCTCCAGACACTGTATTGTACCATCTCTAGAACCCCAGAAGAGAGTTATGAATGATTGACAGAAGCCCGTGCTTTACAAGCACAAGTACACATCCATACACAATTAATAGGTGCTCACTATAGAAATACAATAACAGTGCAAAACTACTCAATTCAGAAGGACCAATTCATTCATTCACTCATTCATCAAAGTCGAATTAACGACTTCTATGAACAACTTAAAGTCACCATCATTTATTATAAGACGCAACTAACATTCATATCACAACTATCAACACTCACCTACAACAACAAACACAACTCTCTCCAATTACAATTTACAATAAAAACAACAACAACAAACAGGTTTTCAATGGTGGTCTAGCTTCAACTGACTCATGATTTCAATCTGTGAAAATTTCTAAAAATCTCCACAAAACACATTCTGATAAAAACAACTAACTATCAATTCATGCAGGCTCCACTTCACTCAAATACACATCAATCAACCAAACATAAACACCAATACACAACACACTCTACAAAACATAATAACATACTCAATCACACCAAATACAACATTCACCATCAACCACACACACATGTAACATCACTAATAACATTTCAGCTGCACATGAAACAGATTGTAATATACACCAACCTGCGATTAACTAAACAGCTCACTATCTATTTAGCCCAGCTGATTTAACACCGTCCAATACATTTACTGTGTTTTGCCCAGCAAGGGCATCATTACATGATACTCCCACAGTTAACACACAAATACATATTCACAACATAACTTATGCTAGATCAACAAGCTCGCACACACACACACACACACACACACACACACAACAATAACACTCATCTATATACACTCCATTACACACAAATCCATCTATATTTACATATACAACTACACTTCCATATACATATACACATATCTATACATCTATAGATACATAAATATATATATACATAGCGCTGCATAGACAAACAGATAACGAAATGTTTATTCATTTACATATTATCAAATATACACTCATGTATTCACATACGTCACTAGTCTAAACAACAACAACAACAACAATAAATCAAATTTCACTACAATTATTCACTTACTCAGATATAACACCATCCTCAAAATCTTAAATACAACCATACTCAATACACCAATCTCCTTCTTTGCCACAACCTGGAAAATTAACAAGCACAAGTACACATCCATACACAATTAATAGGTGCTCACTATAGAAATACAATAACAGTGCAAAACTACTCAATTCAGAAGGACCAATTCATTCATTCACTCATTCATCAAAGTCGAATTAACGACTTCTATGAACAACTTAAAGTCATCATCATTTATTATAAGACGCAACTAACATTCATATCACAACTATCAACACTCACCTACAACAACAAACACAACTCTCTCCAATTA